GATTAATTGCTGAGTGGCTGCCTCCTCCTGAGACCTGCTGGGGATGTTGGAGGCAGGGGTCCCTGTCGCATGCACCACGGGCTCCCCAGGGCTGAGCACAATGCCAGCCACAGGAAGTAGCTGCTAAATTTGTTGACTGGGGTCCACATGTAACAACAACTAGGGTGAGGACGGCCATCCCTTTCCTTGTCCTCCTCCCGCCCACTTCCTACTTCTCTCGTTCTCTTCCCTGCCTAGGCGGTATGCCCAACATTTGCCCGCATGGTAGCCTGCTGAGCTAAGTTGCCAGATTTAGCAAATAAAATCCATTATGCCCAGTTAAACTTGAATTTCAGATAAACAGCAAATGATGTATGTCCCAATATTTTGATACTTATTGTATGCTTCTACTAAACACATATGGAATATATTTTTATGCAAAATGATATAGTCAAACTATTTGCTATTTATCTGAAATGCAAACTGAACGGGGCGTCCTAAAGTTTATTTGGCCACCGTACTTCTGAGCTAAAAATGTGACTGATCCTGTTGATGAGGCTGAATCTGATGGGGAGAAAGCCCAGTTGCTTCCCGTCTCTGCTCCAGTGAAGTCAGCCTCGTTAATCACAAGAGAACTTGATGGGTGCCTGGCGCCAAACCAGCACAGAGGAAAGTGCAAGGCCCGAACTGCTGGCCTCAGAGAATCGAGAGAGACCAGGCAAGATTGGCTGGAGAGCGGGTGGCCTGATCGAGAAGGGAACTGACCAAGATTGAGACCCAGCTCTGGCCAGGCCTCTATTTACACACACAATCTTGGAAGGAACACGATCCCTTGCTCAGCAATAGCGGCCCTCTGCTGAGGGAGCTTCACACTCCGCCTTGTTAAGTCCTCACAAGAACTGACAGGTAGGAGGAGCATCTCCATCTCTCAGAAAGGAAGCGTGTGCAGAGAGTACTTTCCAAGACCTTCCTGGGAGCGAGGAAGTGGCAGGACTAGGATTAGATCCCAGAGGTGCCTGGCTGAAGCCTGGACTCTCTAAAGCACTGCATTGTGGGTAGGGAAGGAGCACCGGGGAGGAGTCGGGAGTCCCATGTGCTAATCTCAGTGAGCTCTTACTGAAGTTGAGTGTTATTTGTACATCAATTCATCCATTCACCCACCCACCCATCCATCCATCAACCATCTACCTACCCATTTATTCATCCATCCATGCAACCACCCATCTACCCACATACTCACCAGAGCATCCATCCACACATCTATCTACCATTACCCACCTACTGACCCATCCCTCCCTCCATACATCCATGCACCTACCCACCTATCTACCCATCCACTCATCCATCCATCCATCCATCCATCCACCCACCTATTCATCTACCCATCACCCACTTACTCACCCACCCTCCCATCCATCAGTGCATGCATGTATCTCCCCATCCCACTGTGTTAGGTTCTGGGGATGCTGTGGTGGCGGAACAACTTATGAAGCTCTTCTTACACACCCTTGTAGCTCCCTGTGGGCTAGGCCACAAGCCCTTCTCAGCTCACTCTCACAATTGACAGCTTGGCCAAGACCCAAAGTTAATTAGAAACTGGAGACTCTCCCACCAGTGGGCCTTATGTTATTTTTATTCCATCCAGCCAGGAATGAACAACGTGCTGGACTATGGCCTGGACCGAGTGACCAATCCGAATGAAGTTCAGGTAAACCAGGTAGGTCTCTGCTGCATACTTTGTACGGGCAGGGCCTAGGTCAGGGTCTTAGTCTGGGAAGATGTCCATCTGTCTATTGTCTAGCTGTGTCTGTTGGGGCAATGATATCTCCCCTTTGAGAGTGCCTAAGAGAGGAGGACTATGGGCTCTGTGACATCAGGGTTGGGGGCGGGGAGGCCATGGCAAGGGCCCTGCATAAAGAAAGACAAGAGATCTAGAGTGCAGGTTGGAGCCAATGGTATCCAGACGGCTGGCTTACAGATATTTCTAAATCACTTCTTTTTTTGAAAATCTGATGAAAATTATGAAAGCATTCTGCCTAATGACTCCTAGACAGACATTTTGCATATCATTTCAGCCAGTTCCCAGACTCCCTGAAGCTTATAGGCCCCAGGCTTAAAACCCTTGAGTCAACTTTGGGTTTAAACCCTTATCCTCAACAGGACCTGGAATGTCACACGTTATTTTTTCTTTCTTTCTTTCTTTTTTTTTTTTTTGCATCTCAATAGGGTGGGATCTTTGCAAAGATTCTCCTAAGCTTTTGTTTTAAAAGGACTCTTTTCCCAGTACAACTACTATTTATGATGGATGGCCAATTTCCTATGATGGTTTCTTATTTAAAGAAATGCAATTCGTAAGCTGTTGAAACAGTGAGCATTCTGGGCAGGGTTTCTCAACCATGGCACTGCTGTTTTGAGCTGTTGTGTGCAGTGTAGGATGTTTAGCATATCCTGGCCTCTACCCACTGGATGCCATCAGCATTGTGCCTTTCCCTGCCCACCTCCCAGGCCTGACAATCATGGATGTTTCCAGACATTGTCCCATGCACCCTGGGGGACAAGGTTATCGTGGATGAGAACCACTGATCCCAGTAAACCAGCCTAAACCCCAGTGCAACTAGTTTGAGATGGTTTCTTTGATTTCTGTCTAACGTTGTCTTTGGGCAGCAAGGGGTCAGTGACCTCTTTAGCCTAGTGTGTCATCTCTAAGCTTTGGTTTTGCCTTAAGGCCTGAGTGGGAGCCAGGAGGGAGAAGAAAGTCAATGGGGAAAGAAAAAGCAGGAACAGGGAGGCCACGAGGCAGCTGTGACATGTACACTTTTGCCCGCTGGGACCCAGAACTCACAATGGCCATGGGGACCTCCAACCAGTGCGTTAGGCAGACGCACAGGGATGGAGTCCATCTGGAGAGAGAGTCCGTGTCCCCAGAGAGTATCACTGGGTTGGGTGGCATGGCTAAGTCCCTTGTCCACAACTCAAAGTGACCCTTCCTTTGATACATGGATGGCACTGTCAGCCTTCAGCGGCCTTTTCCACGTTTCCCTTGTCAGATGACAGATAATTGCTGAGGCCTTGTCGCTTGGTTGCCACGGAAACAGAATCATCAAGGCAAACACTGAACCTGGCTGGAAGATGTGCTTTTTGTGTTTTTATTTTTTACGGGTGGCTGGCAGCTCTGGAAACCTTGTGGTGGAGGTGGGGAGGGCAGAGGTGGAAAGCACAGTTCCCTGGTCAGGCTCAGAGGAGAGGGCGCCCTCCGCTTTCAAAGCCCATTTCTGCCAGATGCTGGCATTTCCGGCCGCCTGGGTCAGAGTGTGTGGGGCAAAGGGCTGTGTCTGCCTGCTGATGTTTGACACGGGGCTGCTTTTACTTTTGTTTACCATTGCCTTCTCTCTCTCTCTCTCTCTCTTGCACCAGCTCCCTTTCTCCTGTCTGCACTCTGGCTGTTGTGGAGAATTAAGAAGAATTAAGAATTCTCACGTAGGCGGGGTCCTCCCGCCTGTCCCCTCAGCCAGCCCCAGCGGGTGCCCAATCAGCTGTTAGGGAAATAGAGGCTGCTGCTGGGTTTTATCTGTCTGCAACATTTCCCCAGCTTGACTCAGTGTTCCCTGTTTTCCAGGGTTTACCTGCCCTGCGGGAGGGGGTGGTGGGAGTGTGGATTGTCTCCCAGCATAGCTAGCTGCCTGCCTCCGTCTCCTCTCTTCTGCTTTGCATTCACTGCGACAGTTCTGAATTTCCTGGTTCCTGACTTTCGATTCCCTGCTCTCAAAGCTTGCCTACCCCGATTCCTCAGGCCTCTCCGTCTTGTGTTTTGCTCTGTGCTGGCCCACCCCTCACCTCTTGTTTTTGCAGATCCCTGCCTGGCTGCCTGATCCCAGGGTCCTGGCTTGTCCCTGTTCTGGGCTCCTGCACTTCTGGGCACAGTGGCCTGAGGGCCTCGCAGGTCAGGGCCCTGACCCCTGCTGCCCTGGGATTATTGTCTGCAGCCCGCATCCCGCATCCGGCGCTCAAGGCCAAGGAGTGGGCCGCGGAGCTGTGTACATAAGCTCTGGCCCTGTCCCTATTTGGGCAAATCTGCAAGCGGAAAATAATAAGCGAGAATCCCAAGAATGCAGGGCATTTGGAGATTCCTTAGACAGCATATCTCCCTGTGCGGAGTGTGTCGCCCGGAGGAGAAATAGAGAAATGACCCCAGTCCAGGAGGGCCGACTCGGGGAAGGCAGGGGATCTGTGCGTGAATTCCAGAGTCAAAAAATGTTATTATTTTATCAGGAGGTGGTTTACTTCGAATTGCTTACAAGTATGTGTGTGTGTGTTTTTTTAATAACTTCATTTTATTTAAAATGAATGTTTCTTATGGCCTTTGGCTAAGTAATAATTTTGATAGGTTTATGAGGTTTGGCAAATAAAAATGTAGGATGGCCAGTTACTTTTGAATTCCAGGCAAACAACAAATAACTTTTGTAGTGTGTACCAAATATTGCAGGGGCGTCCTGTATTTTATCTTGTACGTAGGGCCAAAGCCATGCCACGCGTGTTCTCAGCAGCAGCCTGTGAGCCCTGTCACTGGCCACAGTCGCCTGTCTATTGTCTCACTTAATCCCTTCTTTTTCTATCTTCTTTTATCAAGGAGAAAACAGAGGCTTTGAAATGCTGAAAAACGTATCCAAAGTCATGTAGCCAATAAACCACAGAACCAGGATTTGGGCCTTGGTTTGATCCCCACATCCACAGTCTTTTTTCCACCCGCCTTCCCATCAGATTTTCTCTTGGTCTTTTAGAGGCGTCCAGAACGTTCACCCCCATACACACTCACACCCCTAGAAGGACAGAGATGCCCTGTGTCAATCTAGAGCAGTGGTTCTCAACCTTCTGGCCCTTTAAATACAGTTCCTCATGCTGTGAACCAACCATAAAATTATTTTCGTTGCTACTTCATAACTGTAATGTTGCTACTGTTATGAATCGTCATGTAAATATCTGATATGCAGGATGGTCATGGGTGACCCCCGTGAAAGGGTCGTTCAACCGCCAAAGGGGTCGCGACCCACAGGTTGAGAACCGCTGATCTAGAAGAAGCCATCCTATGGACAGCTGTCTTTAAAGCTAGAAATAAATGCTAAAATCCACGTAGCCACTCCAGGTGGAGGAGGGGAAACCCCAGATGCAGCTGTATCTTATGATTAGAGAGCTCGCTGCAGTCTGATTCCCAGAAGGTAGCTGGTCATTCCGGGAATCCGAAACCCAACAGTGAACCACACCACCGAGGCAGGGCCCTAAAAGGGTAATAAAAGCCAATGAAGTGCATTAACCTATGGAACATTTTGAGCCCTGAAGACTGAGATAATGGCCCCAGAAACAAGCATTTGAGGCCAAAGTCAGACCACGCTAGGTAGAGTAGACATGCCCGAAAGGACAGACCCCGTGGAGCCTGGAGAACAGCAGGCAGACTTGTCTGTGATCGTCCACGCAGGAGCCCTGTGGCCACAGAACGGTGGCCGACAGGAAGTTTGATCTTGGGTCCCAGGCACTTTGAAGGAGGGTGTTTAGGATGCTGGCTGCTGAGCCTTTACCATCATTACTATCTCCCCTGCTCCCAGCTCTACTGAGATATTGACATGTAACGTATGTAAGTTGAAGTGATGATTAGAGACATGTCCATATTGCAAAACATGACCACAATAAGGTTAGTGAACACCTACCTCTACCCCCTCGCATTCGCATGATTATGATTGTGTGTGTGTGTGTGTGTTGATGACAGTTAAGAGCTACTTTCTCAACCACTTCCAGGCCTGTACTGCAGTATCGCTAATTACAGTCACCACGCTGTGCACCGGGTGCCCAGATCTTATTTATCTCAGCGCCGGGAGTTTGTTTTACCTCCATGAGCGTGAATGAAAGAGCATTTTCCTGTGTTTGTGTTCCATCTCGGTGTTGGGGCTCCAGCTCTCTTTTTTGTTTTAATTTTACTTGAAATGGCTGGACAGAGTCATTCTGTTTGGCATCGTCCTCAGCGTCAGGGCAAGGAGGAAACCGGAGTGAGGAGCAGGCTATTTTCTGTTTCTCATGGATCCCTCCTCAGCTTCGCAAAAGGCAGAGCTGGGTTCGAATCTTGGCTCGGCCACTTACTGACCAGGAGTTGTTGACGAAGTTGCCCATAACCTATTCCAGTCTCAGAGCTGAATATCAGAATGATAAAACCTCGCTCCCTTACACAGGTGTCAGGGCTCCACGAGGTGCAGATGGCTTTGCACTAGTTGCTAGGTGGTGGTTGTTATGCACCAGTCCAGCTTCCCCTTTGAGCAGCGGGCAGAGCCAGTCCGTACTATCTTTAATCTATTTCAGCAGACTCGGACAGAAGAATCTGATTACATTAGGTTTGCATGCAAATCTGCCGTGGCCCCAGGGTCCTTTCCTACCTGAAGTGTGTGTCTTCTAAAACAGGGCCCAATGTGGAGACAGAATGGGAACAAATCATCAGTGTGGCTGCCAAAATATTTGGATCAACTTTTTAAGTGGAGAAATGTTCTCTTAAGCTTAGAATACATCTCCATTTTCATTTCAGGCCTCAGCACACGGCAGTCATCACATATTTAATATCGATGGAGCATCTACTCTGCACCAGATATTACGCTAGGGAAGACTGACAGGGTGGTCCCGCTTCTAATGGTGCCTAGTGGATGATGTGTATATTAGAGAGTCACACACAGACATACATCATGAATTGTGATAAAGGCTATGAAGAGGAAGTCAGGGTGTGTGGGAGGCCCCAACAAGGGACCTACCGGAGCTTTACCTTCCTGAGATACCTCTCCCCACTTCCCCACCCGGGAAAAGGATTTCCTGTGAAAAGCAAGTACATAAAAGCAATCTGATGAAGCAAAATAAAAACCGGCAAGGATTGGAAAGGAGAGATGTGTACATGCCATCCTAGATCGGAACCTCCTGGCCCATAAGCCGTTGTCAGTGGGCTCATGGGCCATTGGTTATGTTATTATTAACTGGCTGAGGAAAATAGTATCCTCCTTGGCCTTTTAACACACACACACACACACACACACACACATATATATATTATTGATTTCAGAGAGGAAGGGAGAGGGAGAGAGAGATAGAAACATCCATGATGAGAGAGAATGATTGGCTGCCTCCTGCATGTCCCACACTGGGGATCGAGCCCACAACCCAGGTATGTGCCCTGACCAGGAATTGAACCCTGTTCTTCTAGTTCATAGGTTAACGCTCAACCACTGAGCCTCACCGGCAGGGCCCCAGTATGATCCCTGTCCCCCACTGTGGTATTGGTGAAGCTGTTATGAATGCATCAGGAATGAGCCTCACCATTCATTCAGCTCTCTCTGTCCTGTGAGAGGAGAAACAAACACTTAAACCGGTTCCCCATCCATTTCAGGTGGTTCGGTAGGCCCGACAGTAGATGGGGACCAATCCCAAACTTAGTCTTTCCTGCATCTTGGCTTTAGGGTCAAGAGCAGGGTCAAGTCACAGTGGTAAATCCTACCCCTCCCTTCACCAAGTCTCTTAGTTGATCCAATTCTCCAATAGTTGCCTAGCATAGGGTGGAGGTGGTGGTGAGGGGAAATTCTATCTTCTAAGAGAAGATGGACAGTTTTCTCATGGGGAGTGTGTTTTTATTTTCCAAATGGGCCTTTGAACTGTGATGATTTCATGGCATCTGTTTAATGGCTCTGGCTTCTTTGTTTTACAGAAACAAACAATCACTGCTGTCAAAAAAGAGGTAATTTGCCTCCCAGTTCCAGGGACGTTTGATTTTAAATCCTCCAACGCATTACACGTACTTGGGCTTGAGGCTCTGCACTCAGCAATGAAATGAAAGCCACGTGTAAAGTTCAGAGGACTGTTTACAAATGAATGGACAGCACAGAATGGCAAAGCATCTTCTGTGAGATCTGTATGGGGCTGATGCTGGACTCGAGTTTGGGGACACGGTCAGAAGGCACCTATCAAATGCTGTAGGGCCTGCATCCCCACCCTGGCCCCTGGTCCTCCTGTGAGATCTGAACAGGGCCGATGCTGGACTCGGGTTCCGGGACACTGTCAGAAGGCACCTATCAAATGCTGTAGGGCCTGCATCCCCACCCTGGCCCCTGGTCCTACGATTACAGGGATGTTCAGGATTTGCCCAGGTGGCACATTGTCTATTTTGACATATTTTGTATCCAGGGCCCAAGACAGAGCCCTGGTAATAGTTGGCCATTGAGGTTAGAGCTGCTTGGTTAACCATCTGTCCCCATAGCTTGCCTTAATGCTTCTTAGAACTCCCCCCAGCCCCCCAGTTGATGCCTCTTCCAAGACCAACACATGATGGGTGAAGGAGGCCCCTAATTTGAGGTTTGGGATCACCCATCTACTGTGGGCCTGAACCCTGTTGGTACTGAGGTGTCTGGCTTGAGGGGATGGAACGGGATGCCGTGATGGGTATAGGGTGTCTAGTTCTGGAGGTCCTCTGTGAATATCAGTGTTAGTGACACCCAAGGGTGAGGCAGTTGGACATCTTCTAACGACCGTGTCTCTTCCAGATCATGTATTACCAACAGGCCTTGATGAGGTCCACAGTGAAGTCTTCGGTGTCCCTTGGAGGGTATGTTCCTATCTTGTTGGTCTTGCTGAGGTTTGAACAGCAGATAGGCAAGAAGAGAACTTTTGCTTGAAGGCAAACTGGAGTGGTCACAGACTGACTTAAGATCCTAATGAACTCTGCGGGACAAGAGCAGTCTCTGGGGGGTTAAGTTACCGGTGGTCCGCTCAGTGCAAGTGTCCAGGTCTCATCTTGGGTTCAGCAAAATCAGGGTGGGTGAGGTTCTATACAAGCCTGTCATCTCTTTTGTGGGTGGGAAGGTGGGGAGAGTTCATGGACTGGACCCTACGGGGATCCATGATAGCCTGTGTTCCTAGCATCACCCTTTCAAACTAACTAGGGAAAGGTGGGCTGTGTTCACTGAGTCAATGTACTATTAAGTGTCCATGGTTAACCTCTGATCTAAAATCCCATCAGGACACATTGGAAATTTAGGTTTGGTTTGTTGAACGTTCAGGCTACCCTGACCCAGTCCCTCGTAGGACATTATCTGAGACACACAAAGGGTTTCGTGTCAAGATACAATGTCACGAGCCTGCATTTTTTTTTTTGCTTTACCTGTATTAATTTATTTCATTCTCCCAAGAAGCTAATGAGGTTAATTATTGTTGGGGTCCAACCCCAGCAGGTCCAGGGGTTCCCAAAGGTGTGGACGGAGACAGTATCTGAGACACACAAAGGGTTCCGTGTCAAGGTACAATGTCACGAGCCTGCATTTTTTATTAAATCGGTTACAGAGAAATTAAAAAGGGGCTGGGCTGGGAGACAGCACCTCATTTCACAAGTAGAACGGGGACAGATTTTCATCAAATGCTTGCTAATCTGAGTGCTGTTAGAGCATTTCCCCGAGAAGACAGTAATAAGTAGGCAACCAAATCGATAAGAAAAGTTGGCCAGGCTGGCCAGTCACCCCGAGCATGGACTTAGTCTCCTGGGTGTTGAACTCCTAGGAAATCTTTTCCATTTGCTTTGCAGGATCGTCAAATACAGTGAACAGTTTTCGTCCAATGACGCCATCATGTCAGGCTGCCTCCCTAGCAATCCTTGGATAACAGATGACACCCAGTTCTGGGATTTAAATGCCAAATTGTATGTATTGGATATGTTGGTTTTTTAAAACATAGCTTTTTGACTTGTTCACATGCCATACAATTCATCCACCCATTTGAAGTGTACAATTCAATCTTTTCTTTCACTATATTCATGGAGTTGTACAGCCATCACCGCAAGCAATTTTAAACCGCTTTCATCACCCAAAACAGAAGCCCCACTCTCATACCCTTTGGCTATTTCCTCTCCCCACCCCCAACTAATATTCCTCCAGCTCCTGGCAACGACTCAACAGCTTCCTTTCTCTGTGGGTTTGCTGATTCTGGACACTTCGCATAAGCGGGACCCTATTCCATGTGGTCTTTTGTGATTAGCTTTTTCACTTGGCATCCTGCACATATTACTCAGCCCCTTTCTATGGCTGAACAATATTCACTCTAAGGCTAGACCGCATTTTGGTTTTCCATTCATCAGTTGATGGACATTTGGGTTGTCTCCGCCTTTTCGCTATTATGAGCAAAGCTGTTGTGATCATCCCTGTTCAGATTTTTGTGTGAACATATGTTTTCGTGTCTCGTGGGTGTATACCTAGGAGTGAAGCTGCTGGGTCAAATGGTAACTGCGATGAACAACATACTGTTTTTGAAAAGAAGACAGTTATCTTTATGGCTTTGCGTCTTGGGTGTCTAATTAGTGTCAGACTAAGTTCCTGGAGGGCAGGGCCCTAACGCTGCCCTGGTGATTATGCTGCCCACTCCTTAGCTCTGCCTGTGCATTTCATTTTTAAAATTTATTTATTATTTAAAAATATTTTTATTGATTTCAGAGAGGAAGGGAGAGGGGGAGAGAGAGATAGAAACATTGATGAGAGCGAATCATGGATTGGCTGCCTCCTACACACCCCGCACTGGGGATTGAGCCCACAACCCGGACATGTGCCTTGACCGAGAATCCAACAGTGACCTCCTGGTTCATAGGTTGACGCTCAACCACTGAGCCACGCCAGCCGGGCTGGCTGTGCATTTTGCATGGTTGTTGCTGCTAACGGTGCCTGCGTGATCCGGTTGTTGGAAGAGGGGCAAAGGCAGTAATGCAGGGGGAGAGGGTAAGCCAGCAAAAGAAGAAGACAAGGGCGTAAGTGTCAAGTCAGAAGGGAAGGTAGAGGTGGAGCAGTGGGGAGGAGGGGCTGCTATGAGTATAAGACCAAGCTTACGCCAATGCCAAGGCCATCACACCTGCATGGGGAGGACACAGGTAGCCCGATGCAGCCAGGTAAGCGGGCACAGCTGGAGAGCCTTTCACCTGGCCCAGGTAGCCTGCCCTGGGCAGCTGATGGTTAAGGAGGGCACTCATCTGAGTTTGGGGTGTCAGTAGCAGAGCAGAAGACTCTAGAATCACCTCCTGGGGGAGTCTTCCCTTCCCCACTGGGGGCTCTGGTCATTAGGATGGTTTTCTGGAGTTTGTGCCTGTCTCCCAGTTATCAGACCGGAGAGGCGGCTTGCATCTCCTTGTGGACAAGGATGGGTGGCATTCGGCTCTCCAGGGAGGAGAGGGCAAGGCCACCTGGCCAGGAAAAGTGTTGTCCTGAGAGGGAAGGGAAGGAGGCCTTTCAAAACACCGAGCAGAATGGGACTTGCATCTTAGAGGAAGCCCCGGGAGAGGTGCAGAGATGGCACTGGGGTGCACTGGGGGCATGTGGCCTGAAGGCAGGAGGAGCATGGTAAAGGGCCAGCTGTGCGGTGGGTGACAGCCATCGAGGGGGTGGCAGTGGCGATGGCACCCATTTCAGTGCTGTTCGGGAATTCCCCCCTGGCCCGGCGTGCAGCCTGGCCTTCTGCGGGCCGATCTCCACAGGCCCTGGCGAAGGCCTTCCTGTTCTTTCGTCCGAAGGCTAAGAGCTGTGGCGGTCCTTCTCCCCTTTGGGCTGCCAGCTCCTGCTAGGAGGCCCAGGGGCCCTGTCTGAGGATGCATTTCCCTAACAAGTGATTGCTTGGGTTGTACATTTGTGCAGAAATGAGGGTGGGGGCACTTCGTGGAGCTCCGGGCCGGGGGACTGATGGAGGGAGC